GAGTTATTACGAATTGTTCATGGAGTTGAATTCACCTCGTTGATCTTTGAAACAGTGAATTATGTGATGGAAAGCATTAATAATGATAACGTCTTATTACAAGGGAAAGAATCGAATCATTGACGATCTGTAAAAAGAATACGAGTGAATTGGTTCACAGGAGTGACTATCAACCTCGTGTAAGCCTAGGTTTGAGTCTATTCCCTGAATTCGAAGTGCAGCAGATTTAATAGAATTCGAACTTGCGACAGGTTCAAAGCTGAACGAAACCTGGAGAAACAGTGAAGTCAAATTGAATTCAAGGAACTCACTAAGTGGATCGATCGAGATGTTGAACGACTGGCATCAGGCATAAAACTGGCAGTCAACGAGTGCTGACCTGAAAGGCGCAAAAGCTAAAAATGAAACTCTTGGCTTGAATTAAAGTCATTAGAGACACAAGCAACGTCAGTTTTGAAATACAGTCACTGAAAGCACAGCAAATAATTTACTCCTCATGAAGATAAACTGATCGACTCGGAACAAAGAATTCAAAGGCTGCGACCAATGAATTTATAAACGGAATGTACACCTAATATATGCCGTGTTACCAAACTAAAAAGGAAAGTTGCAAGTTCGCATCACCCACTTTATAGTTAATGACCTAAGAAGTGGTCAGCTTTTTTCACAGGCCTATGAGAGAAGTGTTACCCGGAAAAATTAAGAGTTAATTTTGAACGAACATTCTTAAGAAGCAAATTCAGTCATGAGTACATTTTGTTGTTGAGCCACGCAACTGAACGACCGAAGAACTCAGATAGCAGAAAGTTAAAGTGATGATTTCAGTGAGACTTTTTTAATTCGGATTTGTTTTTGCATAGAAAATAGAACTGCTAGCAATTTTTGTAAGTTCCTTGTGCAAAAACGCATTTTATTCAACGTTTCAGTGTGACCCTGAATCAAGCATCAAAAGTCGGCATCAACTCGGGACGGCATTCGAGCGAAATTTCACATCGGTCAGAATCCGACCGACGGGAAATTTCATAATTCTGGCATTCGGGATTCCGACCGACTGTCAAAATTATTCGGTCGGAATCCGGCTGAATTGACATTTTGAATTACCACACTCGGAATTCCGACCGACTTTCCAAATTGCTCAATCGNCGACTGGCCGTCGCTCGGATACCATTACTAGTTTCAACAGCGACTAAATGGTTTGTGATAATCATTGGGTATTTGAGTAAACATGTAGATGTATCTTTGCAATGAAGTGCGGGTTGATCAGATGCCGTTGACATCTTCAGAATTAGCATTTTCGACTGAGCATTGTTGTCTTCCAGCAATTTTTCTGCATGAAATCTCATTCTAAAGACGATTTCCTTTGAAAAAGCATTCATTCTCTCGTATTCTCTGTTGATTTTTATGAACAATTATCACAAAACAAACCATGACTAATCGCTTTTACCGGATGTCATTTGCCGCCTCCACTCTTGTCTATTGGACTATTCGCTAGTGTTGTCATCTGATTGACTTGAATTTCTTTGAATAGAAACATTCAGAAATTTCAGCCTGAGACTGTCAAAAATGAGTGATGAGTAGTCAGTGTGGAGAAGACGAGCGACTCGCAGCTAGCAGTCAGTCATTAATTTCTTGTATTGTATGAACAATAAAAATCACCAAGACTCTTCCATTGTTTCAAATGATCAATCGCAATTTATCGATATGCATTTATTGCTGCATATATCATATGTGCATAAGTCTGATGTCCGATCATCGTTTTTGTCTCGCTTAAAAACCGCAAAATGTTTAAGAAACATTCTAAATAATACGCATTGTGATGGTGAGCACCAGCCACTGCTTTAATTCTTCTTCTCCTTTCATTTATCTATGTGAATAATGCGCAACAAATAATTTCTATTGTTTACACCCATGTAAAACCGATCGAATCCCGTCGAACAACCAAACGCTAAGACAACTGCTCTTTTCACCGGATGGTGGAGATGAATTCTATTTCGATTCGTATTCTATTATTCTATTATCCTCACACAAACACAAACACAAATTCACCCGAAAAAAAAAACACAACAAAGTCAATCTCACCAACTTATCCCATCCTACTGCTTTTATTATTCATTCATTTATTCATCGAGTCAGTCGACAATTGTATTCTCTTTGCACAGTGCNCCATCCTACTGCTTTTATTATTCATTCATTTATTCATCGAGTCAGTCGACAATTGTATTCTCTTTGCACAGTGCATACAATTTTTATTCATCTATTCATGTTTATTGATGATCAATTGAATTTATCTGGCTGTCATGTTAGGCTTTCGCGAACTCTTTGTTGAAAATCGTATCTTTTGATCGTTCAAATTACACTGTCAAAAAGGGCAATTGAAAGCACAGCAGTCAGAGCGGTGCCTTGAAATGTTGTGTTGGTTTCTTAAGACGGTGAGTTGAGACCAGCTTAAGTGGACGATTTTCGAGTTATGTGAGATAACATACTGTGTGCGCATTTGCTCTGTCAAGGATTGCAGCTTGTCGTTAGGGGCTAGTTCACTATAGCTAGTAAACCTGGTTCAATTAAAGAGACGGAGAAGGTAAGGTAAGGGCAAAGTGGAGAACTGCCTGGGAAAATTGCTACTTTATTACGTTTCGCTAACCGCAATTACGGTTGATTTAATTTGTTATTTTGAGAATGGTGTTGTGATAACGATGCCACTCGATCAGCATTTATTCGTTTTCGAAGATACCCACTGAATTGTCTCATTCCGCGATATTAAAGGAACATTTTATTTTT